TGTATAACATCATTAACATCACTGGACGTGTTCTGTAGGACTAAGAAAAGGCTCTTTAAATCTGTTCAGGTAAAAATGTCTTGAATGTGAGTGATACATTCAATAAAACATCCAGGACCTCGGGTCAAGAAATATGAGTTCTTCAGACATGTCAGATGGGGTATTTATTACAGGCTGATCTGCACTGGTCCATCAACTGGCATTGGCTTTGTCTTCAAGAAACTTGCAAAGTAATGCAGAAGTATATATTTGTATGTATATGTATATTTCTTATGTCTCAGTTCAGTCTCAAGTGTAATGATGTTGCTGAGGCTGCCAATTAAGAAGTCAATACTAGAATCACAGAATGGTTTGGGTTGGAAGGGACCTTAAGGAACGTCTGGTTTCAACCCCAACTGATGTGGGTATCCACTTGCTGGCCCTTCCATTTCTCTCTGCCTACTACACATAAGAAACACTTTGAAAAATTTTTGTCCTTGCTGATCTTAATGGAATTCATACTTAATGGAATTCATACTGGAACTCAGTATCCCACTGCCATTTAGCTCTGTTTCCAATTTTGTGTGTTCAGTGTCAACTCACAAAGTTATTGATTAAATAGCATGAGATTTTTGAAGTCCAATAAAAACTCAATATTCTTTTCCAGCTATTGTTCTACACAGCCCAAATATTCTTGATTTCTTTATGGCAATTCTGTGGTGAGGAAGATCAGAAATACTACAACAGCTGGCCAAAAGCTACCTGGTTTTAGAAATGTAACATTACTCTGAATTCCCTAGTTGGAGTGTAGCACATTTCTGTAAGTGCACATTGACAATGTAACTAAATATTTCTCTTCCTCTGAAAAGTCATCTGTACAATATCCATTCTCAGGTATTCAATTCTACAGTTTCTGAATATTCATCTGGAGAGAATTTTAGTTTTTATACATGATAAAGAATTTGTTCTTTCCTTTCATGAAGTATTCTCCTTGACCCATGACCCAACACTGTTTAATCTTTATCAAATTGAATTTCTGTTGTATTAGGAAAGGAAGGTTTTTACATCTTTTAGTGCTTGTATTGATAAAAGCAGAGTTCTGTGTTATCTTGCAGTCTTTTGAACTCTCATGCTGTCACATTTTTTTACTAGATTATTGTGGTATCTCTGGGAGAGCTTGAGATAGGGCTATATAAGGCAACATGATGAAAAAGCAACATGGCACTGAGCCATGCTCAGCTGGCTTCCCAGCTGCTGAGCCTCTGCCATAGAGACTTGGATCCGACTTAAAAAAGGATTTAGTATCCTACAGAGAGGCACAAAGAATGTTACCTTCCTAAAGCGTGAGTTAAGGTGTTTGGGGCTCTTCCCACCCACTCAACAAGCTGTTGACCTGCTGTTGTCCCTGATAGATGGGACTTTACTAGAGTGATGGTGAAAGGGATAGAAGAGGGAGTTGTTGAATATTTCAGTGGAGTTACTTGTGTCAGAAACTGCTTACCTGTTCAGCTGTAGAAAGTTAAAGCCCTGCATCCGTGACAGTCCATGCTGCCAGGGATCATAGTGAAGTGGTTACTGTAGGTGTTGTGATCAGATGGCAGAGTTGGGTATGCACACACACGTCAGCAGCTGTGCTTACTGCACTTATTACCTTAAACCAATGATCAGTGCCAGCTTGCAATGAGACCCTTGATTTTGAATTGGAGTGAAGGAAGTGGAGAGATGATGGCAGTAACTTTGTAAATTAACATAACTTTGTAATAGCCTAAAAAACCTAATTCACTGTCTCATTAAAGCAAATATTATACCCATCTTTGTTCAGGAAAGTAATTAACCGGTTTAAAGATTAGCATGCCCTTAAACATACTAGCAAATCAGCGTATACAAATCATAAAGATTAGGCGATGGATTGCAAAACTGAAAAATAGGTAGTAGGTCAAAAGTGTTATGTCAAGAAAAGGAAATAATACTATGTGATTGATACACCCAGCTAAAACTGTCTGAAAGAGCTCAGGTTTAATCTGAGTCACAATGAACTGCTCACAAATGCTCTGAAGACTGATAGTTATTCATAAAAATTATTTAGGAGAAAATTTGTAGAACAAATGTGCTGGAGAAAATCTAAACTGCTGATGGTCAGTTCTGGAGCAGAAACTGCCAAAACTTACTAAATTATTCACTAGACGTTGTTTGTTCAGTTCATTGTATTACTAAAGTTATTGATTAGGTAGTTTATAGTATTTGGATGTATTTACGGAAATATGTTTCTCTTCCCTCCTTTTATTTTGTAGTATAATGTGTTTTTTTGTTTGTTTTTTCCAAAAATGCACAGGGATTAAATCATGCGTTATTTATAACATGCTTAGTGCTTAGATATTAAGCTCAGATAGTAAGCTAATGGGGATGGTGTAGCTAGGAGAATCACAGAATCACAGAATCTCTAGGTTGGAAGAGACCTCAAGATCATCGAGTCCAACCTCTAACCTAACACTAACAGTACCCCCTAAACCATATCCCTAAGTTCTACATCTAAACGTCTTTTGAAGACTTCCAGGGATGGTGACTCCACCACCTCCCTGGGCAGCCCGTTCCAGTGCCTAACAACCCTTTCAGTAAAGAAATTCTTCCTAACATCTAACCTAAAACTCCCCTGGCGTAACTTTAGCCCATTCCCCCTCGTCCTGTCACCAGGCACGTGGGAGAACAGGCCAACCCCCACCTCCCTACAGCCTCCTTTAATGTACTTATACAGAGCAATAAGGTCACCCCTGAGCCTCCTCTTCTCTAGGCTGAACAAGCCCAGCTCCTTCAGCCGCTCCTCGTAGGACTTGCTCTCCAGGCCCCTCACCAGCTTCGTCGCCCTTCTTTGGACCCGCTCAAGCACCTCGATGTCCTTCTTGTAGCGAGGGGCCCAAAACTGAACACAGTACTCGAGGTGCGGCCTCACCAGAGCCGAGTACAGGGGGACGATCACCTCCCTAGCCCTGCTGGTCACAGTGTTTCTGATACAAGCCAGGATGCCGTTGGCCTTCTTGGCCACCTGAGCACACTGCTGGCTCATATTCAGCCGACTATCCACCATCACTCCCAGGTCCTTCTCTGCCTGGCAGCTCTCCAACCACTCCTCTCCCAGCCTGTAGCTCTGCTTGGGGTTATTGCGCCCCAGGTGCAGGACCCGGCACTTGGCCTTGTTGAACTTCATACAGTTGACCTCAGCCCATCGGTGCAGCCTATCCAGATCCTCCTGCAGAGCCTTCCTACCCTCGAGCAGATCGACACACGCACCTAGCTTGGTGTCATCTGCAAACTTACTGAGGGTGCACTCAATGCCGTCATCCAGATCATTGATGAAGATGTTAAGTCTTCAGGTTAGAAGGTTAGAAGTTTCTAACCTTTTCAATATTGCACTTCACTATTCCAAAATGAGCAGTCTGTGTCTGAATAAAATACCGTGGATAATGACAGAAAAGCAAAGCAAAATGCCCAGTCATAATATATATGAAAGACTAAAAGCACATCTGTCAAACTCCCTTTTATTTGAAAAGCATATTGTTTTTTTTTTTCTCTCTCTCTTCTTCAGCACAGCAGAGCTTCCCCAAATGGAATCCAGTAGTTTACTACCCTACAGTAGCACAAATTCGTGACTTGTTTGAATTAGGCAATTTTACATGTAATGTATCATAAATACTTGAAAGTCAGTTTAGCATCTGCAGAGGAATACCATTGGTCGTTAATGTATTAATCTCTATAACAAGTGATCAGAAGATACTGTCCACGTAAATGTGTCATACCGACCTGAACTTCAGTGGTCAGGGGGATATTTCCTGCAGACATCTGGGGCCCTTTAGCTGCCAGCTGAACCACTGCATGATGTGATAGCTGCACTGCTGCAGTGGCAGCACTGGCGTTGCTTTTGGAGCACTGCACTCAAAGCTCAAAGATTTTGCCACAGGGAGATCTGCTTCCAGCAACATAAAAGACAACATGCAAATGCAAATTGCAAAATGTACAAAAATGCAAGATTCCTGGGCAGCACTCACTGAGATCAAGGAAGAGACAGAAGCGGGGCAAAAAATCTCATGCAACTCACCTGCAGATTAGCCTCTTCTAGAAGAGGAGAGAAAAATACGACAAAGAATATTCACCCTTTAGTGACTCTGACCTGACATAGATTTGTAAACCTCTTGGAAGGAAAAGGAGAGTTTAAGACTGGAAGGAAATGCTGTGACAGTTACCTGAATAAAAAATCCGAGGCTCTCATCTCGTGTTTTCCACATCAGACAATTTGTGGCTGTTAACCTGCTGGGTTTTCTTTCTGTGATGCTTGTGCTAAGGGGCTTTGGGGTCCTCTTTTTCTGTAACAGCCTCCAAAATCAACACATTTAGGCAAAATGGAGGCCATGAGCTCATTCCTCTGTCTTGATGTAAAGACTGCAAATGATGACATAGCCACCCAAAACGTGTCTGTTGCTCCAAGTCAATTATTTCCTCCTGAAAGTTTTACTTTCTAATCTGGATTTGTATGTTCCTATTTCATATATGATGTGTTGGTATGAAGAATTTGTGGCTTCCTTTAATTCTTGCAAATCCTCAGTGCATTTGAGGAATACACTGATGTTCACTCTGAAGTCTGAAAAATGCTGGTATTTAAATACAATGGGTCAAAGTATCTCCTCCTGATTTATGGACTTCCCTGAATTTCCTGCTATGATTAATAAGAAGATGTAGACAATAACCTTTTTTTTTTTTTTAAAAAAAAAAAAAAGCAATGTAAGAAATTTCACTTTGTGCTATTTGTCTTTTATATATGACATACTCCAATAGTTTAGTGCTCTGTAAAGTTTTCTGAAACTTTTAATGACAGCAGTGTCAATACCACTCAGGAAAAATACTGGCAGTGCTGGTAAACAAATATTTAAGGGAACTTGATAAATGCAGTCACTGCTATATAAAACTCATTTCTTCCTTCAGCAGTTTCTTTTAACCATCTCTCCTCTTCTGTTATTTTGCTTGTCTTCCAGACATCAGTGTTGAGGCCAAGGTGTCCACCATCTCCCCAGACTGACAGCAGCCTTAACAGAAACTCCTGCAGGGCAGTGGTAATGGCTGTCTTAGACCTTTCCACTTGCCTTTAACCTTTCTCCTAAGTTACAAAAATGGCAACAAGAAAAATCCTGAGTGCAATTACAAATCTGTGTTTCAATCCTGTTACTGCATTTGAGGCTTCTTTTCTAAGCTGCTGTTGACGAGCCATAGGGGCTTTTCCACGGGGCTGCATTGAGTGGAGTAGGTTGGTAAACTGAATTCAGCTCTATGAAATGATACTGATACTAGTAAAAGTTCTCAACTTGTAGAAAACCTCTCTGGCTGATTGAAAAGACTTTTGGTAAGCACCGAGCCTTGTGACCATTATTGCTCTTAGGGCAGTAACTGGCAGGTACACCTCCCAGTGCCTTACCTATTAAAGCATAGGGAAGAGGAGCCAAAGGGGTGATTTTTCTATTTGATAATCCTAAATAGCTCCTTTTTTCTATCTAGCTGCATCAGTACTCAAACATTGTCTGTAACTAAGTGAATTAAACAGTGCAGTGGGTTGTTTTGTGTAAAGATTGCAAATGGGCAGGTTAAACTTTGCATACACAGGAATAAACCATGGAGTGGTCTTGTTTGCACATAGACATTGGAAGGGAAGCATCACGATCCTCATGACCACAAAGCTATGTCAGAGTCTGCCTAGATTGGAAACAAATCAAAAAAAAGGTTTGTCTGGAATAACTGGCTTGTTTTGCTTTCCTTTATTTTGGTTTGGTTGGTATGCACATTGCTTCCATCTTCATGAAAGAGGTGGATACATCCTGCCTCCTTTCGAAACAGCCAGAGGCAAGGGAAGGAAAATGTTTTCATGCCGCAGGTCACACACTCTGAGATAAGGCCTGCTCAAAGAAGTGTGGCACCCACGGGTTCTTCCAGAGCTTTATTTTTTTAATGGGTGAACTCTCCTTCCCTGAACAGCACAATGCCTCTGCTCCCCTGCCTAAAAATACAAAAATCTCTAATTTTGAGTAAGCTTTCAAAATAAAATTTCTTAGTGATGCCAGAAATGTTGTCCAGGTGCTTAGTTACCTGCCTGTTTCTAGCATCATTTACTGTTGCAGGTGAGTAAGGCATCTCAGCCAGAGATATTCCACTGCTATTAGGTCAGTTTTGGAAGTTCATAATCAGTATAAATGATAGCAAGTTTTGTCAAATTATTATTAGTTGCAGCGTAACAAGGACAGTGCAAATACGCTTTCTGTAGCAATATTCACAAGCAACCTTTCTTCACAGGAACACTTTTGCCTCCTCTTTTTCAAGATGTGTATGGATTTTGTTATGCTTAAAACTAATAATGTTTTTGATTCCTTATCATCAGAAGGTTATTACAAGCTTGACATTTCCACTCTGTTTATAGCCAAAGCATAAGAAAAATTATTTCTATGTGATGTCTGTGGTTACTGTGCCACTGCAATACAAATCCAGGAGGTTTAAGAAAGATGCAGTTGAGCTGAACATATTCTTTCTACAGTCAGATCTGGGGTTTGTGTGCTTTTCTGGCTTAAAGTTTTTATTTTTCTGGTTCTAATGTGGGGCCCTATGTCTTCTCCTTTTCTTCTGCATGAAGGATGGAAGCATGGAGAAGAGTCAGACAATAAAAAAGACGTTTGGGCAAGGTCAGTGAATTTGAAGAAGGAACCAGGGCAATGCCAGGAGTTTGCAGTGTTCATCTGCTGGGGACTGGTGGAAGAGATTTTGAATGTAGGTGAAGTCACCTCACATATGGTAAGTATTTTAGAAAAAATGGAATAGAGCATAACAGAATCCTTTTTTTTTTTTATTTGGGTGGAAGTCTTTGATTTTTTTCTTAGCCATCAAACTGAAAAACAGCTGCTCAGTTAGCTCTAGCCAGAATATAACTCCCCGCCTTTTTGCAGGGTGTGCTGCTAAACAGGCAGTGTCTGCAGAGCATTTGTTGTTGCTGCGTATTGTCACTATAGAAGAACTCAAATGAGTGGGAAGAAATGCAATTGTGTGTTCAGCAGTGGTGGTGTCGGGGCATCTTGGGTTAAAGGCCCACGGTTAAGCATGGTGACTGCCAAAAACATGCAGTTTTTGTTAGGAATGCTTGAAATAATTAAAAGTCTGATTTTTCAGTGGTGCACTGTGGATACTGTGCATAGACTCAGTGAAATTTGTCAAATTTCAGGTAACGTTTATAAAGCTTCAAAGGGCCAGGGCATTCTTTGAAACTACTCATGGGAGGAGGAGTCCTTCCACATAGCCACGAAAAATGAGAATTCCCGCAATCTCTTCCTTGCAGGAACCTGCTCTGGTCTGAATACTGACCTGCTTTTGAAACATATGAAAGATTTATTTATTTATTTATTTATAGTAAATGCAGACATAATATTTGTGTTATTTTACCATCCTCTGCATCTCTAAAAGCTCCCTGACTTTATCATAATACTGTTTCTGGATTTGGCCCATATGTGAAATCAAAAGCAGAGAAATTCCTTTAGAGTGTGGATGAAATCTCAGACCATGGGTGTTGAAGTATAACCTTAGCTATGACTGTGATGTTAAATATCCACCGATAAAGTATTTGTGGGCCTATGGATCATCAAGGAAGATGTGCAAGTGGCAGACTGAACTGTTCCCAACAAACTGTGGCTGTCTGCCCAGCCAATATATATTGTCATGACAATTATTTGCAAAATAATTGAAGCTAGTTTCTGTATAACTCCTGTGAGTTTCCTTGTTATCAGCCACATATGCTCGATGCCTAACATTTGAAAGTTTAAAAGGTTTTGAAGCTTTTATTTTCTATAGCTATCACAGGCTGACAAGAGTCACTGTGGCAGCAACAGGAAAGTGTTTGGGATCAGTCTAAGGAGAGGGAGAAAAGCTGGAGGAAGGTGATGGTGAAACTAGGGCATTTGTGGCGCTTTCTAGGAGTAGGGGCTCATGTCACTTTTCTGGTTGCTTTGTGAGGGCTATTAAATTGTAATGCCAAAGCCTTTTCCATCAGTGGCCTAAAAGTATTTGAGTATTACCAATTATTTAGACAGTAGCTTCATAGTTTGTGGTTGCTCAGGCATCAGCCACAAGGAAAATCCGCGGTTATGCTCACCCAGCTGGATAGATAGCTTGTGACTAAAGTGTCTGATCAACAAGGCTTATGTTTGAGATCTAGCATTGCGAATTTGAGCTGCTTTCAAAGTAGCTGCAAGAATTAAGCAGAAAATATTTCTAATGAGAAACTGCAATTGGTTTCTTGCTCCCTTTCAAACTGAAAAAGACACAAAATCAATCAAAACTCAGGGTAAATTATTCACCTGACTTTAGCAAAGAAACAAACTGGCAATAAAAGGCCCTTCATTGTGAGAGGCAGCAGAGCCCACACAGCAAATGGGGCTGTAGAAAGTGTGGCTGAGCAGCCTCCTCCAGTTTGTGTCTCTGCTCTAGCCATACTCCTGCTAGGCATTTGCAATTTTCCAGGTTGTGCAGAAATAAAACACTGCATTCAATGTGGGGAGAAGACATAGGCAGGCAACACCAACATGTCACACCCAGTTTTAAAGTCCAAGGTACCATTTTGCATTAAGAGAATAACAAATCTTTCAGGTGAACAAATATTCAAGTCCTGGAGCAGTACACTGAGACAGAGGTTTAATGAACTCTTTAGGGGTGGTTTTTCAGCTTGTGTAAATTGGTTCAGAAAAAAAAAAAAAAGCCAGCAAAAAAGTTGCCCTGTCTTTATATAACTACACAGTAATGATCTCTCCCTGTTCTGCTGGGGAGCTTTTATCCTCAAACGCTGTGTTCCATGTGGATTATCTTGATGTTTTTTTTTCCCCATTTAACACAGGAGATAAAGACTCTGGCCTCTGTATTTAACTGTAGCGTTTTCTATCAGAAAATAAGGCAATACTTTCTAAGGGTAGCTCATGCATTGAACTCAGCTGTCAAAGCTACTCATGCTGCCTTGGGTAATTGGCTACTCACAAATCTTTATCTAAAGTATAAAGTAAATAACTACCAAAAAGCCTAACCTAAACTGAAGCTGTAAATTATCCCACAAATTCCTTTTACTGCTGTTTTGCTTGGATTTACTCAACCTATAAATCAGAACTGAACAAGACTTGCACAGAATGATGGCCACAAGGATCTTTATGAGGTCTACAGCCATAAATTTTGAAGCTGAAGAGGCTGAACCAGGAACCATCTGAGCTCTCCTTCCCGCACGGTTTGTATGCTCGCTTGCTCACGCACTTCTGCCAGCTTCCTTGGCATTACTCAAAATGCGTTCTGCCTCATTGTTTAGAAACTTGTGTAATGTTTTGGTTTTTGTTTTTAAAATGGGTAGGATGGTAGGAGATTGAGGGGTGCCCAGCTTTCTCTGCAATGAGCAGTTGTTAGAGCAACCACCCAAACCACAGTAAGGCTGGATTTGGCTTCCTCTGGAGCCCATGTGGTTTGGACTGGCATTTTCAGCTGCCTGGAGAGCTGCTGGAAAGTAACGCTGTTAAATACATCTGTGTTTCATGGTTTAGGAAAAGCAAAGGAAGCAATGGCTGAAAGAAGAGTTGTGGAGATTTTACAAGAAATAACACTTGGGTCAGGGACTGGAAGTCAGAATGACGGAGGCCTTGCTGGACTGTGCCTGCTGTCTCCTACTGAACATCTTCCAGGATCGTGCTATCCCAGAACTCATAAACTATGGGAAACAAACGTTCAGGTTTTAAATGTCATATAAATTTGGCATAGCTGAATTAATGGTTCCAGCTCTGAAAGCTGCTGTTTTACTTTACCACTCAGTAAGCTTGGTGCTCGCTTATCATGAATCTGATTAAAATCCACATCTCCGAGTCTGACAAACCAAATCATAAAATCCTGGGCCAATGGGGATTGCCTCTCAGAGTTAACCGTAGCTCCTAGGTGCTGTTTCAGCCTGCAAGACAGAAGAAATTTTGAAATAAAGATGCATTTATCTGTCTTCCTGTCCTTGCTGCCGTTGGTTAAATGTGTTGGTCTGTTTGCCTGTGGAGCTGTGCTGCAGAGGTAGCATCGGGGACTATGCTATTTATTTACTTCTGTGCCCTGTTCTCAAATCCACAACATTCCTGTAAATGTGTGGCATGGCTTTTGTCTGAATAACATGTATTAATTTCTTTATCTGAATACTGTAGAAATGTACAATACGACACTGCCAAGATTTACTGCACAGAGCTCAACTGCTGGGTGGAGGATAGCTGCAGGTAAGTCCGTGTCAGAATATTCCTGAATTTTTGAAACACTGCCTTGTGCCTGTTTTCTCTGTTTGGGAAGTAGGTCAAGGAGTTTGTTTTCTGGCATTTTCCCCCTCTGTACTTATCTGTTACCTCTCTGCAGACTCTTCTTTAAAGTATGCACCTATTAACAGTTCTGGTCTTTTATTCTTACATTACACTAACATTTGGAGAACAGCATCCTGGGATTAAGTCCTGAATATGGATTTCAATAAGATTGCCTGAAGATGAATTTCAGAAAACTCATATTTTTCTGGAGCCGGAGTGCCTTTTTCTTTACTGCTGCTATTCTGCAAATGCCACTGTTTTACCTTTGTCTTGTAGTTAAGCGAGACTTTGCCATTTATACTATATATATTATACTATATTATATTAGACATGTATACTATGTATGTATTATACTATACAGCTTCTTAGACAAATTCACCCACTTTAGGCAACAAACATTTCGTAATATCCACAGAGAAGACAAAATAACTTGACTTTACCATTTAAACTAGGGTTGGATTCTGCCTCCTGGTATTCAAAGTGTATCTTAAATTGAGAATATATTTTAGATATCAATGTAATTACAATACTGACTCTTTCATTTGACACCAGTTTCTAGTGTTTCTTGTTACTAAGGTGAAACCATTTAGACCACGGTTCCTAATCTTGGTCACGGTCTCCAAATTCTATTGTGAACATGTTTGTTTTCCATGCCTCTCTCATGCCATGACAGTCTCCATCTCTAGTATATAGCATTATATTAGCATTAAATGTAAATTATGTGAGTTATTATAGCTAAAGCATGAAAAGTAGCTGGTACATAACTTTCTACATTCAGGACAGAGCACATTCCTCTGTCCTAAATGTAGAAAAGCCAAAATATTTTATACAGTCTTTCCTGTCTGTTAAGTACTTTTGCTTAATGTTCTACATTTTTCCTTTTGTTTGGTGCTAAATCCCCTTGCACAGCAAGCCTGTTCAGTCTGTGTCATCTGTTAATTTTGATAGCCATACTCCCTAGTACAGATTGCTGAGAAGTTATGTTGCCCCTATATAAAGCCAACGCCCATCAACACCTGAAATGTGTTGCTATCATTTCTTATGCTGTAAATACTTCGGAACGTATTTTGCCTTTTATTTTCCCTGTATGCTACAGATCTGTTATCCCTGCTCTTTTACAAGTCACGTCAGTTGGAGCATTTGCTCTTGCAGCTCAAATATCAGCGAAGCAATCAGGTGTTGTGGTCTCAGTCTCCAGCCCTGTTACAAATTCCTCTATGAACTTGACCAAATCACTTCATCTTTCAGTGTCCCACTTGCAAGCTGGGAAATGGAATCTCACAAATGGAAGACTCCTTTTTATCATTGTGCTTTTTATCTTTTCAAAACAGTGTGTGTTACCCTGGCTGAATTATAAGCTAGAGTTTATCTGTTTAAAAGCAGTAATCATAGACCCCAAAATTGGTTGTGACCTTCACAGTCTGCTGTGATACCGTACAGTTGGACAGGCCAAAACTGCTCATGTTTTTTTTTAGAATTTCCTGTAGAATTAGTTCTCATATTCACCTCCTTGGCTTTTTTCTTTTTTTTTTTTTCTTTGTTTTTTATCAGTGACAGGACTAATGCAATTCACATCAGGGCATTCTGTGGACCCGTAGTTGATGCCAGAGCCACCACGCTGCAGTTCTGCTGGATGATGCCGTACGTCTCTATCCCTGCCATCCAATTCTGAGCGCTCACTGTGCTGTTCAGCAGAAGGGCTTGTTAGAAAAAAAGGTGAGTCACGACCAGCTATCTGTGCCATGGTTCCGATCTGCAAAGGAGAAAATTGTTTCTTTCCTCCTGTTCTTCTCCTATTCTTCAAATGTTTGAAGTTGAATAAGGGTTTTTTGTTGTTGTTTGGTTTGGTTTGGTTTTGGGGTGTGTTTTTTTTGGCTTGTGACAGTGCCACTGACTTTAGAGAGGCTTGTGCCTGTACAGGACTGTAGGAAAAGGAGTCTCTTACTCTTTCCTAATGCAGTCTCTGCACAATAAGGCGTTGAAATCCCATATTGCTTTAGATGCTATCTAAAATTAATGTTCTTTATTTTTTAATTTAGTCCCTTCAGGGCAGCAGCAGGTGCTAGTTGTTCACATGCATTACCTTTTCAGCTCTGTCTCTCCTGGATTTAAATTGACTTTCTTTTGGCGCATGCACTTTTTCAGCAAGCCTCACTTACCTGTCACCCCACAGTGTGTGCTGGGATAGAAGCAGCTTGAGCTCCCTGAATATGGGAGCAGCAGTTTGAAGTGCACATGAAGCGGTACATTGGTTTGGGAGCTCTTAAGGGAAACTTGAGCATTTATATCAAAGATAGTCTCTCTCTCTCTGTCCTCACCTTCCTCAAAAGAATTGAACATTTGTCATGTAGAAGGAATTTTTAAGCATTTTTTAAAGCCTGGTGAGGGTAAGGTGATACTTTTTTTCATCTCTGTAGAAGAATCAGGAACGTTGTTACATCCTTTTCCCCATAAATGCATATTGAGGGTCAGATGCTGATTTGTGACATTTAATCCCCTGGTCTCTGCTGAGCTGTTTAAGGCAAGGCCCATGTGGGCAGATCCAGTACAGAGGAGACCCAGGCTCCTCAGACAGCAGGAGAGGCTGGCTCACAAGTAACCACGGCAACCAAGCTGGCGCTCTGAGCATCAGGACATTTATATACCAAAAAGTAAAGAAGCCCAACAACACACAGAAGCACCGCAGCTCATTCAGAGATCTGTCCCTCAGTTTTGTTCCTTACAGATGCTGACAGCTGGGGCTATCAGATGTAGGTAGGAATATTTTTCCCTTCTCTGTCTGCAGGATCAGCAGCATAAATTGTTCCTGGTGGTGAGTGCAATGGCTTCCAATTAAAAGAGGATAATGGAATTCCAAGTTGTAGAAACACTGAATGACAATTCTGTATTCATGTTAAAAAAATCATCTATCACACACTTCCAGAAGCAGTGTGATCACATCAATATTTATAACATTCAGCTCTGTGGTTTCACAAAAGAGCCATTAATACAGCATATCAACTCTGGTGACAAGTTACATTTTATTGCTGTCAACAAACAAAGATGTTCTTTCTTTCTCTGCAAACTCCTGTTTTTTTTCTTCTTTTAATCAAACAGCAGGTTTGAGTTTTGAAGGATATGTGTGGATGTGCCTTCCAATATTTTCTAGAAGGCTACTAGAGAAATGACAGAGTGAGTTCATAGGAGCTTGCAGAAGACACTGATTAATATTTTCCTATGAGGTTAATAAAGGTTCTGGGATAAGTTCTTTGCTTGGGATGGAACTTAGCTAATTTCTAAAAAGGACCAGGGAACCAATACCCTGTTTGGGAGGGGAAAGTCTCTGAAATAAATGCTCAGCTCTGAAAACACCTCAGAATATTGATGACTGCACCGCAGTTCTGATTTAGATGAATTTGTACTTTGTGACAGAGTAACAGCGACAGGGAGCAGCAGATCTACGTCATCATATTTATTAATCTCCTGGCACCACATCAGGGTACATGATTTAGGCACTTCGCATTTTCAGTTATCACCAGCCTGAGCCAGTGGGTGTCCTCAAAGTGGATTGCCTCCTGAGAGCAGGTCAGCTCCGCTGCAACACCTGCTGCTCTCTTCACCTCTCAGCTCCACAGCTTCAGGCACGATCTTTTTGGAGTTCTCTGCCAAAAATACTGGCAGCACTGCACTGAGTTCAGAGATTGGATCCACTGTAAGAGTAATGTCACTGCTTATTTTTCTTCTAGTTAGTCTCCTGAGAGGAGTATCAGTGTGTATAGAAGTCAGATATTTAAAATAAGTGGCTTTGCAAAAGTAGTTTAAAAAAAAAAAGAAAAAAAGAATTGTGTATGGGTGTTGGAACAAATAGGATTCAATCATTTTATTTAGATTTAAGCAGTCTGTACTAAAAAAGCTGTCCAGATTGTTAATTGAACTCATAGCTGTATAACTATTACCTGCTAATATTGAATTTTTAAAACCACTTAAAATCATATAAACAAGCTCAGTTCCCAGAAGTATCCAGTTTAGTCAACTGTGCCTTACCATTACAGAATTGACTCTTGCAGTCCTTACACATCTCTCCAGCTGCTGGAATCATTGCAGCAAGTCAAATGACCTGCATGCATCTGCCATTACTCCTTAATATGTCCCCAGAGGCTCAGTGGGACCATGGAAATAAACCTCCAGGACAGACCATACCAGTTCAGTTACATTTATTCTGCTTCGAGTATCGATACCTGCATGCAGAGCAGAGGGAGGGTTCATTTGCTTTGTAACTTGTGTTGCTAAAGTGATCGTTCTGTTTCTTCCCAGTGTTGTCTTTTGCTATTCTGGATGGGACAGCAGAATTCGAGCTACTCTCTATATAATGCACTTTTCAGTTGAGCTGGTTTTGAGCCTGGGAGGACTTAGGGGGGGAAAAATCCTTTTTAGCAGATGGCCCTGTGTGTGTGCTGTTTTCAGCGGTGTCTGTACTCCTCAGGTTCAGGCTAGCTTTTTGTCTGGCTGTATGCTGTGCCAGCATGAGACCAGCTTTAGGCTCTTTCTTTATCTGAGTGCTCTCACTAGCTATTGATTGTTATTATCAGATGAAGAGTACATTTCCAGTAGTGGATGCTCTGCTCCCCAACAGTTCATCAGGAAAAAAGTTCAGTCAAGTAGACCTCTCACAAAATCTGGAAGATTCACTTCCAACCTTCAGTTCAGTTTGAACCATCATCACAAGGTGCAGGATAAGATGGTTGTCTAAATTCATCAGCATGTTCAAGATCCAAGGTATTTTGTAGTAAAACACCTCATGCTTCTCTCTCTTTTTATTTTTTTTATTTTTTTTAATTTAACTTCCTTCATCATTCTGTTGTGTGGTCCATTTCTCCTATTATTTGGAAAACAAGTAGAGAAATGGATGTCTAGAGATCACCAAAACTACCATGAAAGGTATCCTGACAAGAAAAGTAATCAGTCTCAGCTGTGTAACCTCATTTGGGTACCTCATTTGAAGGTCATCAATTTGAGTCTCTCTGAAAATTATGCACAGAGCTGTGACCAAAGTAAAGGAAAAAAAAAGTCAGGGATAGGATCAGATCTGCATCTCATTCCATAATGCTTACCAAAACCAAGATCTGAAAGCTGTTCATATACAAGCTATGGAGAAGCTGTAATTTGTGTGGGCTGGAGACCTATCTGAAAACATGAGCTGTCATTCAGGCTAGCACAAACTGAAGGCAGCTCAGCAGTTCAGCTACTCTGGGACAGTGTAGTCCAACTCCAGTTGACTTTAAATATGGAACTGGTGACCTCCCTAAAATGCAATTGAAATCCCGGCTTTACTGAGGTCAATAATAAAAACTCCTGCTGAATTTTAAAGAGACTGGGATTTAGTAGCTAGTGCCCAATATGTTAAGATTCATGAATCAAGAAAACAGCAAGGGGAATTAGTTTCAAAATATTCACTGTATATTCTCAGTGAGCAGTACTGAGAAATGTTGTATTTATGCATTTCGACTAGATCTGCCATTGAGTATTTCAGCTATCAATGTGAAGAAAAAATTGAAGTAACCTACCAACAAAGTCATTTTGAAGCTTTTTTTTTTTTTTTTTTTTTTGTATCTGGATTTATAAGAGAGTGTGGCTTAAGCTTTGACTCAGGTAGCAAATCCATTTCCATGTCCCAAATGGCAGTGCCATCATGGTAATGTGACCATGAAAGACAGCATGAATTTTAAGGCTTGTGCAGGTGGAGGGAAATCAGCAGGTTGCAATAATCAACACGTGGCATCATAAGTGAATCCAGTTTCTTTCACAACTTCTACTGTGTGGTCTGCATTTCACTGAGAATTTTACTTGTTCACGTGGACAGCAGGTACTTAGTTGGGATGAAAATATTTTAAGGCCAGCGAGAACTTTTTAGCAAATCCCTGTCCCATGTATTTTTTTGCTAACACTTCCTGGTTTGAGGCAAGCAGGACTGATGGCCAAGCACCAACACTGGTGCATAAGACACACAGCCCAAGTACAAATGCTGCAGGACCTACAGCTGGGACACTTCATTCATTTGCCTTCCTTCCTGTGTGGGCTTTTAAATTTTTATTTTTTTTTTCCGCCTGGGTAACTGCTGTATAGGGAAAGATGACTAAATTGTGTTAGTTCAGTAGTTATTCACAGCAAAAGGGTTTTTGGTTAAAAATATCTCCTCACCCCACCCCAATAGAGACCAAAAGCAGACAAAAAAAAAAAAAAAAAAAAAGTAGAAAAGTACTTTCCTCACTGTTCTGGTTACAGCAAACCCTAGAGCTAGGCTCTGGGCTGGCATCTTCATCAGTCCCTCTGCTTCCAAGCATTAAATCACTGTAACTGAAGCATCAAAAACTCACATGCTTTTAAGAAACAATAGATGTTGGGATGTTCAGCTTTTTGCAGTACATCATTTCAATCTTTGCATGACATCTTTAAATATTTTCTTTTTAATAAAAATGGAATCGTCTTATCCCATGATGTGCAATGTTGTGACTGGTGCTATCAGGAAAAAAAAATAACTGTAAGACATTAAAAATCATAAGGAGCAACAGTAGTAATTCAGGTTAAAGACTTCATTGGTTTTAATTGGAAAATACTGTGCTTGAAAATCTAAATGTCTGTACCTAAACGTACTGCAGGTTAATATGGAGCATCAGCAGGAGCGTGGGTAATAGTTACAATGAGATTGGGACAACAACACAGCGCTGTTTCACTGCAAGCTGCAGTTACGTGGAAAACTGAATGTGTATGCTTCATCTCTACGGCTGTAAAGGCAATTTCCCAGGTACATCTTTTCAGATTTCCCATGCAACTCTCAGAATGTCTTCAGAGCTTCTCCGGGGTTTGGGAAGCAGTGTCATGTTTATCTTTAACAAAGGTTGATATGTTAATGCAAAGAAAGGTGCGATTTTGTTTGATTCAGTGTAAGCCTCCACAGACAACTGGAGTTTGTAATAGCCTCTGCTCTCTGGGCACAAGCCATAGCAATGAGCAGAAACATACTCAAGGACCATTCTTTTTCAGAAAGGCAGAATTGGGAAATTGGAAGGAGGTCATTGCTGGGAGCCAGAAAAGAGCACAGCAAAATACATGGTTACTCCCACACAGGATATCATTATTAGAATAAAAGTGTTTAATAACATTTTTTAAGCACTTTTCTTGCCTTTTCTCCCTGTAGTACTTGAAAAACAAACAAGCAAAGAACAAAACAGCAACAACAACAAAACACACACACACAAAAAAAACACGTGCAGGTACTTCTGTTTCATGTTTGGACACACTGCATGCTGCTTCATATTTGATGACCCATTCACAGAAATTGCCTACCTGTAGAAAGTAGAAGCAGAGATACAGACGAGTTCACAAAAGCTCGAGGTTTAATTAGATTAAGACTTTTGGATTTCAACTCTTTGTATTTAAAAAGGAGACTGGTGAGAAACTGGCAGGTAGAAACTCAGGTTCACCTGTTAGTGTTGAATAAATTTTAGCCTGAGTCCCAGTACCACCCACCACTTGCCAGGAGACAATCTGTCTAACCTGCTTAAACACCTATGTAGAGGAGCTGCTGCCAAAACTGCTGCTTGTGGGATTTCTGGATCAATATCTCCGTGTACTTCAGGGGAGCAAATACCCCCCTTTAACAGTGCCACACGCCTCCCACTTCAGTGTTTCTGATACCTGCAGACTTGATGCATAGTTTCAAAAGTCCTTTTCTGTTGTGTTTGTTGACAGGTAGCAAAATGTCTGCAGGAAATGAGAGCGATCAAAATCACAATGAATTGTAATTAAAGAGAGCTATGGATCGGGACTTAAAACTGCAGTGCAAAATTTTTTGACATAATCAAATGCAAACAAGCAAATGTTTAATGGCGGAGCTTGGGAAGGAAAGGGGGGATTTTCTGAATTTCTCACCAGCTGCTGATTTTAAGTCCAATATTCCATGGTGTGTTAATACTTACACTAACCCACTAAAACAACTAGTTACTCTTACAGGGTAATTTATATATGACCTTTGTGATCGGAGTATGTGAGAACACACAGAGGTTAATGGATTCTGTCTTCTCACCAGTGTGAAGTACTGAAGAAATAATCCCTTGTTACAGAAGGGAAAATAGGGCACACACCTGTCCAATATTTTAGCCTGTGACTGAGCTGTGAACTAAACCCAGCTCTCCAGAGCCAAATTCAGAGCCAAAGCAGCCAGGTTGTTCTTGCTCTCACTGGACCATCCATCAGATGACTTACAATGTACCTTTAAAACTCATATTCAACTTGTTTAGGCCAGGATCCAAATTTTCCTTTGCAAAATTTGCCTTTATTACTCTAACACCAGCTCTCTCGGGTGGATTTGACTTTTGCCAAAGTTCTGCTTTTGTTGGGGGAAAGTAATGCTTATGATACAAACAGCAAGCTTTTTTTCTGTCTTATCTCTCCTTGAACCTCTTTTTGTGCAGCACTACGCAAGAGGAAATGCCTCTCATTTGACAGATACGTTACTGAAACTACTCACTGCTCAGGGAAAAGTACTTTGCACAACCTCTCCCAGTAATTCTGTGGCTTTGCTAATTGTGAGAAAATAATGTGCATGAATACAGTGTAAAAAAAGACAATATAACACAAAATGACTCTTGCCTACCTGTAGCTAAGAGCATGTGCTCCTCTGAGGTTGTTTGAAAATATCATACAGGTAACTGGAGACGTGTCTCTTTTATAGGACTGGAGTGATACTGGGACGTATAGGGCTGCAGTACTTGGCCACATAACAGGTTTTGCTCTTGCCTTTTTCCTTTTCCTTTTTTTTTTTTTTTTTTCTTCTTTCCTTTTTCCTTCCTTCTCTTTCTTCCTATCTGGTGGACTTTGTTTGTTTGTTTGCTTTGTAAGAAACTCAAAACTTTTAAGCTTCTTTTGTCTGTTTAGGATTTAGGTTTGGATTTATTTTTTATTTTTTTTTAATCAGACACATATGGCATGGTTCCCTCTGATAAAAACCATAACTTTCCAGCCAACTATACTGTTACTGTCTAATGCCTGAACTTTCATCTCACTCCATCTGAAATGTGGTTGGACTCCAAATCTTCGCATATCCATATACAGACTACAGGGACCCTTATAGCACGGGCCATCAGCAGAGTACTGCACAGTTTGTGTTGTCCAGGTCTCCATTTGGGAGATATTTACTAGAGAGATTATGCTGTCTATGGGCAATTAAATAGGCTTTTTTCAAAATGCTATAAATAATATTAGCCACGTTGAATGAATAATACCACTCAGTGCTGTGCAAATTACCAGCATATGGCTTACAAGTGGAATAAGAATGATTTTATTTTCATGCAGAGACAGAAGTTTTGTGCTACGATGAGATGGAGTTTTGCTCATTTCCCATTTAATTTCATATGCAACTCACTAATAGCATCCCAATGTCCCTCTCCACATTTCTCTTCTTATAGTGTCTCTAATGCACCTTAAATGATGAGAGCACTACATCAATAGTCTCAATTTAGGCAATGTGTGCTTTTGGCAAAAACCTGCAAGTATTGCTAGCATAAATCTCCCATTACTATAATGACACATTAAAATGGCACAAGGGTTTACAATCTGTGTTGCGAATTATCCATCCACCTGCTCTCTGAAATCATGTTATATATGGTTAGCCTTTCCGTCACCCATCTTTGTACTAGACTGACTTGCCCAGAAGTTAAAAAAACAGGCATTTATCAATGCGCCAACATTTTGTGTAGCATTCCAGCGAGCGTTTGGATCAGATACCCAACATTGTTGGTGTGAGATAAACAAAGAGAAAAGAACATGGGTGACTAATCAGTAATAGCTAGTTGCAGCCCCCTGCTTTTCCCCAGCCATAAATTGAAAATGACGCTGGCAGGAGGAATAGGGTTTTAATCTAGATGAAACATTTTTGAATGCATTTTCTGAATTACAGGACGTACATTGATGTGGCTGTCAGTCTGTTCCATTTGGAGTGATAGATCTGCAGAAAAACACTTTTGTTTAATTGAGATAATATTGTATTTTCCCCAAGTCCTCTAGGAGAGAACTGATTTATGAACAGTGTTGTTCCTGAAATAAAAAGACACTAGCATATGAAGTCCTCACGGGAAAGGCCAAATTCAGAGATTGCTTTATACCACTGGCTTAACAGGTCATTGCATTCAGGTCGCAGAGATGAAGAGACGCTGGTACCTCCACTGCGAGGCCCAAACAGACTGAGAGTAGTATTTTCTCCCCAAATGGCAGTATTTAGGTGAGCTGGGCACCCATCACATATTCAGAGGAGCCCAGTATGAGCTACCTCACCGCTGAAGCAGTGTGAGCTGTGCCATCTTTTCTGGACTTCTTTCAAAATAAAGTTTGTTCCCTTCTGCTCATCCTGAGTGATGACCTGAAGCATTTATGGAAAGTTGCTGCCCTTGCTTTTGGACATGTCAGTGCAATACCCAACCCATACGTCTGCCTCTCAGCAATAAAGCTGGCTTGTTCTGCAGGGAAAGGGCAGCCAGCTGGAAGGAACCAGCTGGTGAGGACACTGCCAGGCTGAACGCCGCGACAGGCCTGAGGTGAATGCATTTTTGCTCCAGATGTCGTAACAGCTCCGCAGTGTGCTCCAGGTAACAGTTTGGGGTTAAGATGTCCAGGGAAATGATGTTACTGACCTTGCCCTGCCAGCAAGCAAATTTAGCTCTTCCACAGCCTGACAAAAATAACAGCTTCCATCACGGAAAGGGGGAAACATCCAGCATTTGCCTGGAGATTACAAACTAGAACCAAAACTGACCTTTTTTCTTCCGTGGCTCTGTTCTGTGTTGGGCTGAAAAGGAATGGTTTAAGGCCAGCTCTCAGGTGGCAGTGGCAGTGCCTTGATTTTGGAAGAGCTCTTTGGGTCAAGCAATGGTAGGTAAGTGTGGGAGGAATTAATGTGGGGATCTGACTTGCCACAGCCTTTCTGCTGCAGTGATCGGGGTGCTGAGCAGAGTCACAGTCTTGCCACAAGAAGGTGGCCCAAGATGAGATGCACAACCCAGAATCGGGCAGAGACCTGAGCTAGAACTGCTTTGCAGAGAGCACCAAGAAACTTTCCTGTAACCTGCTACATCAAAGCAGCCTGGACCCAAGAAAACGGGAATGTTGAGTGAAACGCTCCAGCCTTCAGAAAAATGTTTTCTTGTTAAAGATGGTCTGGCCAGCTCCAAAAGAAGTCTTGAACCATCTGTCTCGTGGTCCCTTTTAGCATTTGCATGACATTTCTGCAATATATTCTACTTGTAGAGCGCTTCTTTCTGAGGGGCTGCAAACAAGGACTGCTCACTTGTTCACAAAGCTCAATAGGGAGTTTTTCTCTCAATGGAGAGGTTGGAAATTTTTTGTTGCTGACCTAGGCCACATTTACGGCTTGCAAGTGCTATAAATCTTGTGCTGAACGCATCACAGAGTGCTGGTGACACGCAAGCCCTGCTGCTCTTGGTTTCCTTACCCGCGTCTGCAGATAGAAAAGTTGTTAGCGGTACTCTGAAATAGAGAAAAAAAAGCACCAAAATCCACTGTATTTGGAACTGTAGCCTATTTCTTCAGGAAATACTGTCTCGTAATCTGCACAAAGCTGGTATTCACGTTCCGTAGGGTTTCTTCCACAGTAATTGTGTTCTTTAAACCTGGCTTTCATAAAGGAGGTTTTTTGGAAAAAAAATAATTCATATCCACAGAAAATGAAGTTTTTGTGAAGAACACTAAGGTAAGTAAGGAGGTTTACATTTATTTTATCTAAAACACAAATAAGTAAAGGGGAAGGTGAACTGTCCTAAGCCAAGTTTAATTTCTTGTTTTACTTGTGTATACATCTCTTGTTGCGGCTGAGTAGATGTGTGAAATCTGTGGATTCAGCTGGGTGTCCCTAACAAGAATTGGGTTTGGTGTCTGAGGAAAGCATGGTGTAACTGGGGTGGTGCCAGGGCTTGGAGGGCACTGGTGGCCCTGCCTGGGTGTCAGTGCCCCCCATGGCACCACGCACCCCCAGCAGGGGCTCCTGGCCCAAGCCATGCTGGGCCTCCAAGTTCATGCCAAATTACAGCCGAGTTATCCACAGTAACTTGCTGTGGAATGGGCAGGACATTTTTAGGATAGGATTTTCTAGTGTCTGATGCAAGATACGGCTCAAAGTATCCAATATAAAGGAATTTAGAATATTTTTTTCTAAAAATAATAAAGAGCAAATGATAGATATAAGCAAAAGAAAGCACATAGATCCATCTTCTTCTGTCAAAAGAACCAATTTACAAGAAGGAAAAACAAATGCACAAGGAACCACAGCGTTCCAGGTACTAGGGTTTGATCTTTCTGATCAGCGCAAGGGTAGGTGAAGAACCCTGTTTTCCCCAGCCGCACGGCAGTCCCTCTTTTCTTGCGCAAAAAGAGCCTTTAGGGGCTTATGTGTTGCCGTTTCTGAGATAACGCTTTGGGGAAGATGTGCAGTCATCACTGAATTTTTCGTTTTCTTGCTTTGCTGCTGCATTTCTTCCAGAAGAGTGGACAACATAATCCCGTTTCAAGTAGCATTACAGCTTTTTATGCCGAACAGTCGATTTCTCTAGAAAAAAGGTACGCCAGCCTGTTTCTTACTGTATAATTATTTGGTTTCCCATGTGACTCCATTGAGGCTTTACAGGTCACTTACTTTTATTTAGGGTTTGTGCTAGCATGAGGCAGACCCCTAACCATGTTAAGTCCCTAGCCCTCAAAACCACAGTGGTCTGTGTGCGGCACCTGACACCCTGCACACATCCAGAGGTCAGCTGCTATGCTCCCTTCAGCCACTGCCCCAGGGCACAGCAGGTTCCTCCAGCTGCTCAAAGTGCAGAATCAGGAAGCAGTAACCTAAAAAAATCCCAGTGAGCTTTCATTTAATAACAGAGGCAGTGAAAGACTGAGTTGCTGCATTGCCTTGATTTACCATCAGGAAGGCTTCTGGCAGTGCCACTTTGTACTGATTAAAGCCCTCAGTGGCACAGAGAGGTCTGTAATCATTTATTCTGGTCATGGGTTAGTGTAGTTTAGAAAGGAGTTCCTCCAGGAGGCAACCCGGTGTATTCATCCCTGCACTGAGGTATGGGGAAAAAAAGGTCAGTAATTATTCACTGTACGCACTCGTTGGAGAGTGGGAAGGTACCAGCTCCACCCTGGCAAGTCAGCCTGGGGCAAACCTTGTCTTTGCTGCAAGTGTGAGAGGGGAGCCTATGGAGAATTGGCTCATTGAAGCAACGGATCCTGGGTAAAGTAGGGAAAAAGCATTTTCAGTATTACAGCGTGCAGTTCCTTACATTAAAGCCTGAGAGAAAGAAAGCCAGCAGCACAAAGGAACAAATGCCGCGAGCACTGGACAAGCCTTGTCACTCTCACTGGTTTTGCATAACACAGGTGCACCTTTAACACGGGCTTTTGGCTTTTCTGCCATCCACAAGCTTTGCTGTGCTCCCGAAGGAAAGATGCACAGGTCGAACAGGATGTCTGTCATGGGCAAACTAAGGCCCGCATATAAGCTTGGGGTTTGCTTCCTCGCTTGTTTATGCCTTTGGTGAGGATACTGGGAAAAATCCTCATTTGCCATGCTCATACTGAGCTTAACGCAAGGGAGCCACGACCAACCTCTGGCAGAGGCATCATGAAGCTACAGCAAAAAAAAAAGAGAAATAGCAATAATGAGATTGTCTCAGATTTTTGTAGGAACATGCTGAGCCTTCTTTAAGTAGCAACTAATGGGAGCTTTAATTTATATAACTTTTTATGTTTTGTTTTTTTTCCAGCATGCAGCACTAACAAAGAGTATATGCCTGGTGCAGGGCAGTGAGGCACAGTTTGAAGCTTGATAAATATGCATAGACATTAAATATAGCCAGATAAATAAATAAATGTATCAGATGTTAACAGCCAGAGCTGCTGCACTTTCAGGCTCCTGACATTGCTGCCATACCCTGTGCCTGGAGATGGAATAAATTGCTGTATCCTGTACTACATATACCCTCATCTGGTGCGTTTCAGATGAGAAAACTGCTCAGTAAAAACTCCCGAGAACATGGCTCTAGCCCTCCAGCCCAGCCCCTTCCTCCTCATCCCCCCTGCCCTGAGTGAGAAAATATTTTTGAATCCATACTCTCCAATTCTGTTTAAAAAAGCACACTGCTTCTAGTGGAATAATGATTTCTTGATGGATTCTCATAAATGGACTGTTTCCCACATTATCTGAAATAATTGGTTCATAGCGACCACAAAACGAACAGCAGGTAGGAAATGAGTTTGCAGTTGCCAAAACATAATGGATCATTTAGTCATTCTCTGAAGATTTTAACACTTCTTTGGCTGTTGGGCCTGCATCTAATTGCACTATTTTTATTATAAATCTGCCTACTGCGATCAATGAATTTACATCACTGGAATATCAGAATAAGGCCCACAGAAAATAAACATTTAAAATATATATATATATATATTCAAAACAAAGGCCTACAGAAAATAAAAAAATAGATATATTCAAAGTGTTCTTAAAACTTGCAGTCACCACATCCTCTGATTTAACCAATGAATATTATAGGCAGGAATGTTCTTTTCCTCCTATTTTTAGTATTGTTTGGGAATTGAATGTTATAGCTCAGGCTTATACAAACAGAAAACACGGCTCCTTTATGCAGCTGCGATACCGTGCGCTTTGTTGCGTACAGCCAGAGAGCAGCACAATGACTCCATTAGTGGCAAATACGTGATGATTTCAGAGTAATAGATTGCATGACTATTCTAACTTCTTTATTGCCATCGTTATATGTATTTGGAGGTAAAAAGCAGTTTGTTTTTTTACCAGGAAAGAAATTTCCACTGTGCCAAAATTTCCTCTTCCAGGTTTAATTGTCTGTTTATGTCTTAACATGCAAGCTGGGGTCTCATTGAGCAGACAAGTGGCACACAAACACCTGCACATTCCCCACCCTCAGCTGAATAGCCACAGTCCCCTGGTTGAAGCTGGTCAAGCCATGTTAATAAATGCATATTTTTAATTAGGTCCTTTGGTGGAAATTGTATTTGAATTATATTCTTTGGTTAAGACTTTTCAAAGAGATATAAGTTTAAAAGTAGTGCAATTTTTTTGAATTGTGTACTTGTACACAAAGCTATAATTTGGCTTAGACAAAAGGGATGTATTCTGTTAAGGTAAGTGGGCTATGCCTTAAACTTAAAAAAGACTCAAAAACTCAAAAAGAAAAAAGAACCTGCAGAGTGGGAAACTTTAAGAAAAATAACGAAGTCTTTAGGAATTTCTTCTTAAAACATGCAAAAAATCAAAAAAAAACTTGCAAAAAAAAAAATGCCATCAACTATCTCATCATCTTGCTAGCCTGTATATTAAATCTGGAGTACAGCTATAAATAGTGCTTGAAGTTTTAATAAATTCCATTTATAATTTAAAAGTATCAGGGCAGATGGTTATACTTACACAGGCTTCTGTATTACGTTATTGTTACTATGTCAATTCATAAATTGAGTTGGATAGAAGATGTTAATTTTTTTTTGATGGTAAACAGACTTTTAACTCATTTCAAAAAATGATTATCTGATAAATGATTTTTTTTTTAAATAATGGCTTTAAGATTGGCTGGAAACTGAGAAAAAGAGTACTTCAGCCACTGCTTTGGGTTTGGGGTTAGTTTGAAGTATTTTAAATTGCAAATATAGGGAGACACCCAAAAGTTGCTCCATTTCGGATGCAAGTAAAACATTTTCTAATGAAAACAGAACCATTTTGTGAAACGTGAAGTTCTGGGGGGAACAGAAAGGGCAGTTGGTTGTTGCTGGGATTTTCCTTGTTGGTGGGCTTTTTTGGGGGGGAAGGGAGGAGGACAAAAAACAAAACAACAACAAAAAAAAACTTCCTTCAGCTCAGAATTGGCAATTTTTTTCTAGCCCTCCTAAAAAGCAGGTACTGTCTTTAATGTATTGTGTAATAATTCTGTGTTTTTAAAAAAGGCATATTTCTCATTTTGAGCTCAAATGTAAAAGTAGAGTGTAGAAGCAAGGAAGGTGGTTTGACTGGGAATATTAACAAGAAACAAATTGGCAAGAAAAGGCCATAGAAACCTGCATTATTCAGAATATTAATCAGACAGTAAGAAAGTGAGAGAGATGCTCTGCTCTACCTACTGCTGTGCATTAGAGCATGGTTATGTCAGCATTTGCAGAACACAAGCTAGTTTATCAATGAATTTATTCCAGTGATGGGTCTGAACAGAAAAATTCTGGTTCCAAGGGGGATTCTTAAGCTGGAATGCTTGCATATGAGATATAAATTTGACCCAATATGAAGACTTGAAACAACTAAAATAAATCTGAAGCAATGTTTCAATTTCATGACAATTGTGAATAGAACCTCGCTGCCTTCACTGCAGCAAAGAATTTATTCCCAGCCATCACCAGACTGGTATTCTCTTCTGCTTGAATTATAAAACCTTACTTTAAAAGTTTTGGTTTGCAAAAAGCTGCAGGAAACGTGGTGAAGATGCTTTCCAGAACTACTCCAGAATATGATAAAAGTATAAAATAGAGAAACAGGAACATCGGTGGTTTATTTGTATGTCAAATAGGCTTCCGTCTGTACCTTTGTTCTCTAAAATGCTGTAAAACTTCCATTTTCATCAGTAAATCTTAGAACAGATCTTTGTGCAAGGAGGAGTTCTGCTCTCACAGCAGTACAGTACAGGAAGAAGAGTAAAAACATGCATTTTTCATCATTTCAGGAAAACTGAATGGATCTAAAGCTTTCATTGCCCCATGTCACTCAGCACATTCGTCCCACAGCTTCCTCCCCTCAGGCTTGGTCAGTCCTGTGCCACCTCCTCAGACCTGCATCTGAACAGGGGCTCCTGTGGTCTGAGGACCTTCTTGATGTTCCAGGTCTTGTAACGCAAAAGGCATTGCTGCATTTTCAGGCTTTTTTTTTTTTAATTTTATTTTTTAAACCGAAGAAGGTAGTATGCTGTTTCTCAGTTTCCCACAGTACGACTCAGCAAAGAAAGCTGCATTTGTAGATGCTATTCTTGAGGTTCTTCATTGTGGTTATGTAATGCAAAAGGTTAGGATGACTAGAATAGGCTATTTAGAAAGCATTTTGACTGATTTACATATATAGTTACTATTCTTGTGAATGCAATCTGGATAATTATGCCTCTAAATAGCCAAACTATTTGTGTAGAGCTTCTTCCACAACTGTAATTACACTTGCATTTTGCACACCCAATTAAGCCTGCATTAAAATGCTGTAAAATGCCTGCAATTTTTTACAATATAATGAAAATTTAGAATCTTTAAAAAGCCTACAGCCACACCTCTTAATGTGGGATCCACGGAGTGCACCGGAATACAATAAAATGCGATGACGAGATGCTGGGTACTAACCACCAGAATAAAGGGGCTGCAAAGAGAGATGACTGCACCACCGAGTGACAACTGAATCCCCTTCACAAGTAGATGGAGAAAATTTTTCCTTTTCAGCAAAGCAGTCATTACAATCGAGGACATTGTTAGTTTAACAGGCATCATTTAACAGGCAGTTTAACAGAAGAAGGGTAACAGGAAAACAAGTGGAAAAAAGCCTAATTTCAGAATTACACGTGGGGTTTTTTAAAACCCCAAATGAGTGTTTTTAGAATTGTGTTATGTTGAAGCAGAGTTCACAATTTTTATATACATATCCAGATAGATATGAATTTCCAGAGTGCTGCAGATACAACAGACAGCTGATATTTGGGATCAGTTACGTTTGCCTTCACTTACCTTACGTTTAGCTTGCTGTCACACATCCCTGGGCCAAGGACAAATCTGTGTTGTTTGAATTTGTATTTCAGAAATCAGGAAACAGTAAGTCTGTTCTCCATCACAGTTCGCTGAACAAATATGCTTTCCTTTCCTGTGGCAGTAAAAATCACTTGCACCAGACCCCAAAGCAGCACTCCAAAGCAGCTGAAACAGGGGGCCAAAACTCTCCCCAAGAGCAACAGCAAAATCCAACACAAACAAGCCTGGGATCTCAAATATGTTTGAAATACAATGTTCTAATTTTTAAACTGAGAAAATCAGGATGAAAATAACCTAAGTGTTCATGGTAGAACCCACCTAAAATATGATTGTCTTATTTTTTTTTTAATGGTCTATGCTTGGGAGTTATGAATTCCCCAGAATCACCAGTGAGGGACTGTTTTAAAAAAGAGAATCCATTGGTTTCATTCCCCTGATTTCTGTCATTCAGGCACAATGTACAGAGTTTGTATTACAGAAAAAGTTACATGTTGCATCGTAATGTCGCTACTATTTTATAAACACCCACCTTGACTCTGCACAAAATTAGGGAAGCCCAGAAAAAATGTTAACAATCCTAAAAATTGCAAATTTTCCCATTTGCTGTGATCGGTATGCCTGAAGTAGATGAATGGCAGTGTCGTTATCCTGCAAGTAAAGAGCCAATGCAATGTTCCGGATAGCACCAACAATTTTGAAAACAAAACAGAGCAAACTGAAATGCTCGCAGATTGGATGGGTTTGTTTATACTGCAGGAATTTTAACTGCCATGAATCTCACATGCCTTTGTTTCAGTCCTCCCAGTACTGAAAACACCAAAAGATGTAATCTGCTAACTCCACACAATAAACACTTTGGAGAATTTTCTTGTAAAATTCTGCAGTGAAAATCTGCAGTATTTTTCCCACAAATCCTCAATATTTTGATTAGGAAATGCTGTTTCCTGTGCTTCATATTTGTTTGGTTGGTCCCTCATCCTTTTCTGGCTAAACCCCTGGTAAAATGAGACTTTGGTACTGAAGTCTCCCCTCCCTTCCTAACCTAGGTAAAAGGGTTTTATTTTTTTTTCCTACCTTGGTAAAGCTTCTCACTCCAGTCGTGCCTATGGTGGGGTGTTGCTTGCTGTTGTTCAACCCAAAACTGGTACTGTGAGACTTTCCTACACGGAGACAGAGAATCATTCAATCAGTTCACTTCTTTTTAAAAGAGTATGTCCAACTATAGACCTGTAGAAGTAAATTACTCTATCAAGGTATGTGTGTTTCAGGTAGCAAATGACAGTATTTATATTCTAGCTCCCAGCTTGCTATTAAACTACAGCAGTAGCTATAAAACTAAAGACGAACTATAGATACCAAATTTAGTCACTATATTTTGGTTTTGGACCTCCACTTGAAGCCCAGATTGGGAGGTGGTAAGCAAAACAAACAAGCAAGCAAGCAAACAAATTGGTTCCCACCAGAAGCAGCTTGCCGGGAACTCCATCCAGCACCAGTCACTGAGGCACCGTCAGTGGACAACAATTTTGTCTTCTCCATCATTGCTGCTGCCATAGCAGATGCCAGCAAGGAGGTAAATCTGGCCCTTTGTGAGGTTGTTTGTCTTGGGTAGACGATGTTATGCAGAAACTGTAAAACAAAACAAATCACAAGGGAAACCGGTGACTACATTTTAACATTATTGTTTGCTATTACTGCTTATGGTCTTAATGCTTTCTATGATGATCTGCTTCAGTTGCTAAATTAGCTTTTTCAAGGGGATTTAATTTGCAGAAACCAAAACACCGGCTTAACAGATCTTGAGGGCTTAAACATTTTAATGATATTAAAAAAACAGGAGTTATCATAGCTTGATATGCATAGCTCACAGAGCTTCCAAAATAATTTGCAACAAGTAGCAGCAACTCTCAGATCAAAGGAAACTTCAAGGCTGATGTGAAATTGCATAACTCCTATTAAATATTGAGAGACCAGGAATGAGTCTTGGAGGTATCATACACACACACAGATAGCTATGCATACACCTGCACATCACTCCAAAATAGCTGTATCTCTCTAGATATCTATGTACAAGCTTAAAAATCACATCAATTTTGTATCAATTGCTACTCAGCACCCAATTAGATACGTTCTCCTGAGCAATACTGTAAATATTAATGTGGTTCTTTTTAATAAAAGTAAAGAGTGTCAACCACTTCTGAAAACTACTAGCTAATTCAAAGGAAAAGAAATGTGTTTTGGGGTGCATCAGTAGCTTTCATTCCCCTGACTGTCAATAGATGGGTATTGTATAACACAGACAAGTTATTATTATGGCTTATTTCCAAGTCATAAGCCATAATTTTCAGCATACATATGTTAATGTCACATTTGTGAGCTCAGGATAGCGATGGCAGTGCAGCAGAGCACTCAGTGACTTAAGACAAGTGACAAAGCCTTATTGCAGATAGATTGCCTTTCAGACACTTTCTCACAGCACAATATCCACCAGAACCATTACGAGGAGCCATGTAAATCAAACCAAAATGGGTCTTAGATGAAGTTTTAGACGTAACGGATATGAAAGGAGAACTTCATGATTATTCCAAATCCTGTTTTAATTAACACTTATTCCTAGTCTGGCTTTAGATTTTCTTTTCAACTCCTGCCTGTCATTTTTTTGACATCTCTAGTGTGACGGGACGGGAGTGATATTTAAAATGAAGGGGGAACACAGCAAAAGAAACTATCTCCAGTACTCTGCTGTAAGAGATTCTGCTGGTTTATGTTACTGTTAGCATCTTCGTCATGTAACCGGTCAAAATGCTCATCAAGGTGTTGCCAAGACACAGATGGGTCATTACTTTTAAGTAAGAGATGGGTCCAAAGCATCTACTTCATCTTTAAATTTGGCTCTCTCCACTTTATCTGTGGAAAGCTGTTGCTAGCGGCACTTGGCACAGCTTCTTAAAGCAATTTACTTCTGCCCTCTCCAGGAAACACACTGCCACCCGAGGACTCTGCCCTGCTTCACAGCCAGCCCCAGGCAGCTCCGCTGGCCTCGCAGGGCCAGGACAGCGCTGGCATTGCTGCCAGGTCTGCTGCTGCGAGCACCACCTCACTGCCACCTTCCCACCGGGCCTAAGAAACCGTCCCAGGAGTCATGGGAGCACTGCTTACCAGCAACGCGTGTAACAAAACAAGGGCCCCAAGACACTTACCAGAAGGGATGCTGTTTTCTTGTCTGTTTGTTTTTGCTGATGGCTTGGTTTGTTATTTTTGGTGGGTGAATTTTTGATACTGTATCAGGAAGCCTTAAATGAAACAGAAATAAGTTTTGTATTCCCAGATTTGCTAATCTTTCCAAAATATGATTATTGACCTGTTTCTTTTCACTTTATCTTGGACTAATGTTCCAATTCTAACAGACAACATAACTTAGGACAGAATTTCAAGAAAAACAATTAACTATTAAGCTCCAAATTGTTTTTCTCTCCCCCACCCCCAATCAAACACAATTCCTTTGCTGCTAAATGCCTTCAAAATCAGCCTGATGCTGAGGCTTTAAAATTACAACAAAACAGAAAAGTAGGGCAGGCAAGCAGAGGAAATTTTTCAGACGCAGTCATGATGGCCATAAATCCCAATTCCACTGCAGTCAGTATTAAAGAGCACCTTGCTGCCGCTGCCAGCAGGGGTGGGCTGCCGGCCTGATGTCCGAGTCCTGCATTTATGTGGCATACCGATGTGTAATGGGGCAGCTAGTAAAATGTGAGCAGTGCACAGAATCACAGAACTGTCTAGGTTGGAAGAGACCTCAAGATCATCGAGTCCAACCTCAGCAGTTCTTACAGTCTGCTGGAAAAAAAAAAATAAAAAGTGTGAAGAGTACAATGCTTGCATTCATTTTCTTCATGCTTACCTCACTTGGAAATTATTCTTTTTTATGTAAAACACTGCTAGGCGCTGACTTATCAGAGAGCTGTGCTTCCCTCAGTTCAGTGGGTTTATTTTGGGTCTGCATTGCAAGCAACAGCCTAATTTTGGCTCCAAGACTTGTGGTTGGCCAGGTATGCTCTATGAATAAAGTCAACTGCTGCTGCAAAATGGCACAGCCTCACTTCTACTGAAATACAGTAGCAGATTGTAAGAACTCTTTTCTTTGAATTGAATACCTTTCTTTCATCGTGCCTTATGTCAGTAGACAATTACATTGTCAAATCTGTATGCAAATAGACACAAACTTGACAAAACCTGGATGCTATTACAGTTGCTGCAAGCGTGCAGTCCAACTGTGCTAATCGATCCTGGCAGCTGGAAATTACCTTTTCCTTTACATTCTCCCAGTTATTCCGAGGTATCTTCGGGACCAGCTGACACCCAAATCTATGCTGTCAGGTTCCACAGGAGGCAGTGAGTAACAGCAGCTCTTCTGATACACCAGCAGCCTGTGGTATCACCTCATTGATTTGTGCTATGCCTGACAGCCCCAAACTTGCTCCTACAAGAGGTGCAGTCTTCCTATTTCTAGATATGCTGTCAGTAATTTTTTTTCCAATATAATTTCTGCATGGTTAAATCCTAATTAGGCACCTAAGGTGCACTTTCCAGGTTATATCAAGTGCAAAACTCTCTTTGATCAATATTGTTTCTCTGCCTACTCTATTCTTGTCTTCAGCTGCCAGATGTGTTCTGAAATGCCAACGAGCCTCCAGCACATACCGCAGCGCAGCGTAGTCAGCACGCTGCTAGATCCTTTGTGGTCTTCCAGCAAGAGAAGGCTGTCATGAATCAGGACCTACCTGGCTGTGGCACCGACAGCTGGCGTCTCTGCTCTTATGAGTTATTTAGACTGTTGCATTTACAAAACAAAAGAACTGCAAGGCCCTACATAATGGCAAACAAATGAGCAAATTTGACCTTTTAGCATGTATTATGTTAAAGTGCCTCTGCAGGGATGAAAGACAGATGAACTACCTCATGCTGCTAGAAGAAGCTGTAATATTTACAGAACACAACGTTCATTCTTGCAGTGTTCACCAGCCCTTGTATTAACTGTGCTGGAGCTTTCATTCTTTGCAGAAACCGAAGATTTTCTTGTGATCATTGAAATAACAAACAGCCAACTTCTTACCCTGCTTTAAATAATTCTTTTTCCCGATGTGCATTACACACCTAAAAGAGTTTAAGCCATGTTATTCGACGCTTTTAGATTCTAATGCCCCACTGTTCTTCCCACATGCTGTGGTCAAAGGCAAAACCTCCAAAACCCCAAGTGGCAGCCGCTCCAGGCTGTCAAAAAAAGGGGGAAAAAAGGGGGTGGAGGCGGGGGGGACGGGGGGGAGCACTTTCTTGCTGTAGAACAGCGAATCAGAGCTATGAAGTCTTTATGTGTCTTTAACAGGTTAGACAGCAGTCTGTTGGGATGACACAAATAAAATACATGCTTCCTTGGTGTGGTGAAACATCCTGGGGACTCTTCCCATCAGGTGGTTCCATGAGCTTGTTGTGAAGATCACATTTACCGAAACTACAGCTATGTAGGAATTGGGAAGGGAATTCTGCAACAATTACTTGGTTTATTTCTGGTTGCAGACAAATTCTTCTTCAATGACTGTGAGGAAGAAGTTCTTGAGTTCCTGTGGTGTTTAGGAAAGCTTCAGCTCTGAGATAAATGCCTTCCTATTTGCCTTGGCACGTTGCTTGGTTGGCTTGGCTCAGTCACAGGGGAGGCAAGCCTCTTCACCTGGAACAATCCGCCCACCAACAAAATCTTAAGGAAAAAACTGCTTGAGAAATGAAGCTTTTTTTTTTTTTTTTTTTTTTTTTTTTTTCCACCTGCACCCTTGCCCTCCAGCCAGCCTGGTATTTGCTTGAGTGGGAAGGTTGCTGCTTGTAGCTCGGGTCTCTGGCGAGGAGCTGTGAGCTCCTTCCCCCCCACTCCCGTCCCTGTGCCCCAGGGATAACGGGGATTGCCTCACGGGACCTGGTAGTAGTTACACTTCAGACTCAGATGGCAAAGCTATCACTTTTTCAAACAAAAGAAAGGGATAAGCTCATATCCATACAGACCTATGGAAATTAAAGGGAAACACGGCTCAACTTTCACTTGGTGAACTCACCTACAAGGCAAATGAACCGGCCACTGCCGAAACAAACAGAAGGCCCTTCTCGGGGCAGGGAGCATCACCTTCCTACCAGGTCTCAACTTGCCAAACCACTCCCAAGGAAGGGTAGATCTTGGAGGAGCTGCAGAAAGGTATGACTGTGAGGTAACGGACCTCAGACCTTTGGTTATTTTTGTGTTTTCCTTTTGTTGTTCTTGTTCTGTTGTGTTGTTGATGATTATTTTTTTTAACCTGTCTGTATTCAATCAAATTAATTCCTAGCACAACTCTATGAAAGTCACCCCAGGGAAGAATTTGGACTGTTGGGTGACCAAGGTTTTAATGTAGAATGGCATTTTGCCTTTGAAATTGCCATTTGAGACAATGCAATAAAGGGAAACAAATAAATGCTAAGACAAACAACAATTCTTAATACATCCCTTACTCTTTGTACCGTAAGTTCTGTTGGAACACAAAGCTATCTTAACTAACCTTTAAAAATGCGTTACCTCCACTGGTGGCTGGTCTTTCCCCATTTTGCCCTCGGGCTGCTGCGTGGTGCCCCCTCCCTGACCACTGCTGAGGAGGAGGCCGAGTGCTGCCCTGAGCTGGAGGCTCAGCAGCTGCTGCCCTGCACCTCATTTCTTCCTGGTCAGGATCAGGGCAATTCTGGCCCTAAACCGAGAGTGGTTGAGATGCATGTGTTATTAAGCCAGGTGGTTTGATAGAGAAGTACGTAAAATAATGAATTTCATTTGCTTTTTTCTCCAACTTTGTTGTGATATACTTAATAAAATATGGTAAACATCATCCCGAGGAAAATGAAATGAAAAGATGTGCCATGTTATCACAAGCGAACAATGTTACGGGAGACTTAATGATGGCAACCATTCTTTTTCCTGCTCTTTTTTAACTAGCTCCAGGTAACGTTCTTTTGTGCTACTTGTGTTAAACTTTCCAGTTTGCATTTTAGTCAGCATGATGCACATTTGATGACGGGAAATAGGAAATCACTGGAATATGATGACACGGCAGGTTAATAATACAGCTCCCGTGTGCCTGAATTCACTCCTAATGCATACTCACAGGGAAGAAAAGCCTTCTGAGTGGTGGCATTGTTCAGTAAGTTACTGTGCCAAAGCCACGTGAGCATTTGGTACAGCTATCAAGGAAACAATCTGTTCTTGATGGCTGTATATGGTGCCTTGTGATATCTGGTGCGTTTGTAATGAAAATTAGAAAAATGATGAAGTAAGACAAGTAGCAACATACTGAAAGCATATGTCCCTGTGTGGAGACAGATAGAGTGCGAGGGGCTCATCCACCAGATCCAGCACTGCAGACTGTTTCTCATCACGTAGTACAACATAATAAGCATCTGAGAGCCCCTGTTGCGAGCGAGTATTTAAAGATTAACTTTAAAGGAAGAATAAACCTTTCCAATCAATTGTGAAAGTAAAATCAGCAGTGAAGCAACAACAGAAATTGAAACACAGCTAGAAGAAAATTAAAAACAGCTACCCTAAAATACCTGTGTTAATTAAATCTTAGTTGGGAATATGTGAATTAAAAGAAGTATGACATTTGAGTTAATAGGAGAGCAGCAAAATGATGAACTTTTTTTTTTCTTTGAATGATGGTATAATTTCCTGAGAGTCAAGGCAAGTTTTCTGTCAGACAGACCACCTTTACGTGGACACTGAGCAGAGCAGCTCTGTCCATAGCTGTGGTTCACAGAGCACAGTTTGTGAGCTCACTTGCTTCATCAATCTGTAGTGTCTAATCAAGCTACCAGCCTCGTGTACAGTTTGGGTTGCAAAAAAAGAAAGCACTTACCTGCTCTGTATCAGTGCCCAGCCACTTCAGGCTGTTTTCTGAATACACAGCAGGGTTTTTAAGCACCAGCTTTTTCCTTCTTCCATAAGTTGTTTCACTGGTACCACAAAATCATTTTTCTAAATGGATGTGTTGGCTGCTGAGTGCCCTCCTGGGCAAGGCTGTGCGTTAGCAGCCCTGGCCGAAAGCAGTGCAGCCTGATGCTCATTAAAAGTCTGCAGATGATCTCAGACTCTCCTGGTATTGAAGATTCATCAGTTTCTTTTTCCACAAGAATGTATTTGAATGCAATATTTTGAAAGTAGAGCAATAGGTACCAATTATATCCTCCTAGAGTCTGTGTCTGCATACAAAATGTCTGTTGTGGTGGAATGGTATTACATTTACTGGTATTTTGCCAGAATTTGCAGACATTAACTATAAATTCTGACACAGCGACAAAAGCATGTTCTTGCAGTGTGCTGGAGTCCTCTGAGGAGGAGGAGGTTTGCACCCTCCCGCCTCCTTCAGCATGCACAAGGAAAGCACAACCTGCTCTGCCAAGCTGCACTGATGCAGGAGAGCTCAGGAGCCAGTGTTAAAATAAAAACTAAAATGTCAAGGGGATTTTTTTAGGGTTGGCCATCCCTGGTGTACGTGTCACCAACTGGAGCCGGACAGCTCAGGCACCCTTGCTCTGCCTGTTGAGGTGCTCGGCTCTTTTTTCTCAGCTTCTGTGCTGATGATGTGAAAAGAGTTAATGATAGAATCAGGGAAGGTTTTCAGGCTTACATCAGCTTCTCCAAACATGGATCGTGAGCCTCTAGTCTTCTAGTTTTTAAGAATACCCAGGTAAAAGCAAACAAAGCACATAAATGATAAAAACAGTTGAAAGCCAGGGGACTTCAGGCTTCCAAGTGTGTTTGCACAGAGACATGAATTGGTGTATTAAGTCACACAGGCACTTTTAAACAGCTTATTAGTCATCCTGTTCTTGTACACAGATGCCCTTGGTATTCTGCAGCCGTAACTTCAACAGCCAATATCCTACTGCTTTCCATGAGGCGCGGGTTCCCCCACACACCTGGAGAGGAGAACTGTAAAACACTGAAGGGAAAGCTCGCAGAGGTAATAAAGCAGTGAGAGAAAATACCTGGGGAGGGAGCGCAATGCACCAAAACACACCTAGCAAAACAGTAACAGGACACAAGTCAATAAATAAGCGCTGATCTATAATACACTCCCCAACTTCCAGACATAAGGATGCATGAAATGAATTGCCTGGAGGAGCAGGTTATGGGGAGTGGAGGAAGGGGCGATTCATACCATACGCTGAGAGAGAACCTTCATTTACTGACTGTACGAGGCAGCCGGAGCCTGCAGCCAGCAGGTTTGAAGTCAGACAGGAGGATATGAAACTTGGAAAACAGCAGTGTAATGGAGAGTGTTGGGTGAAATAAAATTACGGCTGGAGAACAGCTAAAGAAAATAAGAACTTATATTAAATGGAGACTGGAGAAGTGGGAGAGGGTAAATTCAGGTGAAAAGGTTTGTAAGGACGGGGCAGTATGTAGTTGGGTGGAAAGCAAGGAGAGCGAGTCCATACTGGTGCTATTTCTATATTCTTGATACAGAAAAAAAAAAAAAAAAAAAGGAAGCAAGCCTGAAGTTATTATAAAGCAAATCAAGAAAAAAAAAAAAGTGTATGTATATATATATATATATATATATGAAACAAAGCAAAAAACTCCATATTTAGTTCATTGCAGCATCACTGAGAATTTGTCCTAAAGTGCAATATGCCTGTGCCTGTCAAAGCAACACCAGAGGGTAAAGCAAGTATTAGCAGCAGGAAACAAAATGCTAACCATACTGAAGTGACAGCAGAGACAGCTCATCCTCAGCCAAAAGAGAAGGCGCTCCGATTTTCCTTATGTTACCATCTCTGCGGCTGCACGGGGCCAAGGTTATTTGCAAGTTAGAAGAGCACGGATGAGGGTGGGTTTCCAAAGACAGCAAGGCTGGAAAGCATGGGATCGCTTAGTTTTCCCCTTCTGACCTCTGTGGCCTTGGGTGCTCCCTGACACGTGCATCCTTCATGCACTAAATGATGGTGTGTGCATGCCTGCTGGTACCTGCCTTGTCATGAACATTGTGTAACGGGAATTTCTTCATAAACTGGCAGCACTGCCACCCTGGCTATTGGTCTAGGTAACTTTAGGCAGAAGGTCAAAATGGGGGATCCAAGTATACTGCCCAAAGAAAAAGGAGGTTAGTTGTGGCATTTCAAAGAGACATATTCAAAGCTCCTGCGTATGAAAAATTAATAAGCTGACCAAACATTTGAAAGCTGAATAAATAACATTTCCCTAGCAAAAATAAAGCTGAGCGATCTGAAACAAAATAAGGGCATCCATCCAGCAAGGAGAAGGAAAAGATAAGCTGTTTTCCTCTCTAAACTTTCCCAGCTTTCATTAGAGGTCACGCAGTTCAAAGAGGATTGAGTTCAAAAAGGACTCGAGCATTTCAGTCCAGCCTTGATCACGGCGCTTTTTCTTGGGAAACAGAAGGTAGGAAGTTATCAGTGAAATTCCAAGATAAGGTGACACATTAGAGAGCACGGGCCTCATCCTGCGCCCTGCTGCACGAGCTCTGTGCCATTTCCTTGTACCTGCAGGCAGCACCGCTCCCCACCAGCTGGTCCCCTCCAGCCACCCGGAGACAACCTGAGCGGCACAAAACCACCCATGGATCCCTTGGACAACCGGCCCAGCGGCCACCAGCACCCCGCAGCCATCCCCCACATCCATGGCTCTGCTGGGAGGGAGTCTCCCTCTCCTCCCGTACGGCCCCTCTGTCCTGTAGCAGAGGCAACCAGCCAAAGCGGTGCTCCCTGCCGCGCTCACACTGCCCATCCCAGGTTTCCTACACAGGAAGGAAGCAAAATGCTGGAGGGTGGGAAGGGGAGCTGGGAAGATGCATCCCACAGAGAGATTCAGGAGCTCCAAGTCCTGCCTCGCTGCTTGTACAGGTGGCAACTTCGGAGTTTATTCAAATTATTCTTTGAATTTGAATTACAATTGTATCTTTCAAATAACAGAGCTCAGCCCCTTCCTTTAAAGCTTGAGCGTTCATACTGAGTCAGGCTTGTCTATAAAAGCAGTGAATTGAATATTCTTATTAGGTTCTCGGGATGCTTTTCTTCTCCCGAGTTCAAGCAGTGGCAACTCGTTATGCAGCAGCTTCTCCCCTGCACTGCCGCACGGACCGGCCTTTTGTCAGAAGGCGGCACCGCTGGCACGCTCATTTTCCCCACAAAACTCCCTCGTTTCAAAATACCAGCTTGACTCACAACTTCATGCTCGATCTGGAAACCGCTTGTATGGTGCGGGTAATAAATATACAATATATGCACAATAACAAATGGCTGATGAGTCACTCCCAAATCTGTCTTCCATTAGCTTCACAGCCAGGCGCCATCGGGGAACAGAAAGGTGGTGCTTCAAAAGAGCTTTAGAAGAACTCAGGGGACACACTGTACATTCAGCTTGTTCACCAAAAGGTGCAATTTGGTGGCTGTCAGCAATGTTCTGAAAACGTCAGAATAACGCACGTAACTTCTCAAGGCTTGCTTTGCCGTGTTCAGAAGATACACAGTCCCACCCAGCCTTGCAAATAAAACAGTCGATCAGATATTCTTACATAAATCCGCCTGCAAAGCTACCACACAAATGTAGTGAGTCTACAGAAGCTACTTTCTCAGCTTTACCATGATGGCTGACAGTAACAGCCTAAGCTAATTTTATTTTATTCTTCCATTAAAAAAAAACTCTTCATCCTTAGAAAGCTTGCACATTGCTGCTGAGACTGAAACACAGCTTGGCTTCCCACAGAAGCACCTGCCTTTGATTAAAACTCAAGATATCCCCATGGTTCGGGGTGAGGTAACAAGCAGTACTTCGGTTCAGTCCTTACTTCCTCCACTGCTACGTCCCCAAGCATGTGCACACGAGGAGCAGGATCGGCGTGTTACCATTACTTCATTTGCAGTCCCATTTTCACCGTGCACGTTGGCACCAGGCAGTGCAATGCAGGCAATTCTTCCACAGGTTTTGCTCAAACTGGGCGGCTTCTACCACTGCAAAGGCTGCTGCTCCCCTGGGCACGAGAAGTGGGCCAGGCACCGCGTTTTGGACCATGCTTTGAGGCACAAAACCAGGTCCAGTCCTTCTGCAGGCCTGTTTTTACTCGGCGGAGCTGCTGCTATTCCTCCCTCATAGATTTTATTTACCCAGTGCCCTAGGATTAACATAACTTCAGAGAAATAAAAGCTTTTCTTCTGGAACAATTCAAATTAAGATCTATGTTGGAGCATGCAATTATCCTACATGCATCTGAAATCAAGGAGAGCCAGCCAGATGCCTCTCTGTAACGGTGTGTTATTTTCACAGCATATAATTTTCAGATCACGCACATCAATATTGTAACTGGGTCATGGAAGCAGAGGGTATCTTTGTTTACATACATTTGTTTTAATTCAGTGAAGTGCTCTAATTTCCCTTCTCCTTGGTAAATATTTTTCTCTCAGAGTCTGCCCCACATTATGATGACTGTATGGCTGCCGTTGTGCTTGAGATGGATGGCCCGTGGCTGCAAAAGCCCTGCTTGCTGCAGAGGTGGGTTCATTTGGTAAATTAATTCTAATTACAGGTGTATTTCCTGCAAAGCACATTGGGTTGAAAGCTTGGTAGATTGAAATCATTTTGCGATTTTAATCAGCAAACATTTCCTATGTAGACACTACAAATTCCTAGAAATATAATAAGATTACCTACTCAAGAAAAAGAAGAAAATAAAACATGAAACACTGCGACTGTCAGTGCGCACTGAAGCCATGTGCAGTTCTGGTGGGAGCAGTCATCCACTGGGAAAGGATCTAAATCAAAAACTGCCCAAGAAAGTAAAAACACAGACAAAAAGTGAACATAAGCATAGTAGTTCGTTTGTTTGTTTGTTTTCCTCCAAGCAAACCACCTATCCTGAAAGTCAGTGTGCTTAGCTTTACGTATATAGGGGTTATAGACTTGTCTTCACATTTTCATTCCAAGACCTATGAAAACCACATGTGCTAGGGAAAATACAATGAAGCTGGGGTTTCTTGCATTAAATACCAGGCTGATGTGTTAGTGGCAATTCCAGATGAATCCATTTGGAAGATTTACTGGTTTTGTTTTGAACTCGCTACTGCTACTTTCCCTGAAGTTTGCCCCTGGTTTTCCTTGCCCAGGGAGCTCTTGGCTGCCCCGGCCAGCACACGCAGCTCTGCCAGCAGGGCCGGCGCTGCAGTGCTGCCATTAAGGGATGGGCCCAGAAAATGCACCTCTCCTCTGCGCTGGGGTAACTCGGGGGACACTGCCTGAACAGTCTTCAAGATAGAGCCGATGCAGAGCACAGAGGTCACAAAGACAACGGCTTCCTTTCAAGAAAGGCTGAGTAATAATGATGGAGTGAAGCAGTACTCTCTGCTGGACTGTGGGGAACACGCTGCCTTCAGGACACAACAGATTTGGGCAAGTTTTCTTCTTTGTGAAGAATAAGTGGCTACAGCAAGTCATGTCACAGAAGCCTGCCTGTAGCACCAAGTCCCACATTGAAAATAAAGGGAAAAAAATATTTTGAGTAGTCTAAATAGCTTTATCACTGTTCTTAAATAAATTACTTGCATTTTTTTCCTTTCAATTTCATGTGGCTTTTCACTTAGTCCATTTTCTTATTTTTTAAAATGTGTTCCTGCAGTCACACTGAGACATTCCATTTTAGTTTGATTTGAAGCGATTTTTGAGAACTTTTGAAATTATTTCTACTATTAATTATTATATTCAGAACTGCCAGGGAGCTGAAAATTAAGTTTCCAAACAGCTCCAACTCTCTTATTGTCGCTTGCAATTCTAGCTATTACAGATGTTTCAGCATTTTCCTCTGGGAGTCTCTGATCACCCGAATGAAATGATCAATTGCTCTAATTTAGCTTTTTAACTGAATGGAAACAGTTTCCCTATGATGTCCTTGCTCTTGGGTTTTCAAAACCCAAGCTCTTGGAAGAGGGGGGAAAGGTTCTCATAAGAGGTGGCTGCACCACAGCAGGCCACTTTCCTACCATTTAATATCACAACAGTGGAGTCACTGCTAATAACAAACTCAATTTATAAATCCATTCAAACAACAGAACAGCCAGATTTGCTACATAAAAAGTAATACTTCTGTTCAGGGGTAAAGATTTTGATGGCAAATATCAAAAACCCAGATCACTTTGCATGTGTTTCAACAGAAATCTCTGAGCCTCGCAAACCAAATTACAATGAATGCTGCAGACATCTGATGGAGTAATTATTCTTAATTAGATTTTGACACAATCTTTGGGAGACAGGCACTTGAGTCATACGATCAGATTTTCTCAGACGAAAATTTGTAAAAATGGCCAAGTTATTCTGTTAAAAAAGCAAATACAACAATGCAGTAGTAAGAGGGATGGTCACATACAACAGAAAGGTAAGGAGTCCGGGCAGCCTGCTGTGAGGAGGTGCTGGAGGGGTCCCAGAGCAGGACAGGACGACCTGAAGCCATCCCTGCTCTCCTCGTCCCTGGGAAGCCTCTTCTGGCCTCGAAGAGCAGCATGTCCAGTGAGGCACTCACAGCAGCGCTGCCTTGCAGACTCCTCCTTTCGTCCCATCTGCTAAATGCACTATCCCGATCGCAGAGCCACGTCCCTCTTCTTCTCACAATCCTATTCCTGCTACATATTCCTCAGCAGGGTTTTTGTGCTGGTCTGCACCTTACCGCACCTTAAAAACAAACTTATTTCCCAACAGCTGCAATAAGCCAACCCGAGCACCCCATATGAGGGGAAAAAAAAAAAAAAAAGGAAAAAAAAAGAATAAATGAAAGAAATGAGCTCCCAAGTCACTCCAGGCAGATGCCATGTCCCAGGGACTGTAAGGTGTTTGCAGCAAGGACCATTTCTCCCCGTGTGTATGAACAGTACAGCAAACACAGCAGGCATGTAACAAAACAGCCAGGAAGCAGTCTTTTCCCACACTTGCATCAGACACCATGGAAAACCAAAGGAAGAAAAGGCAGATTTTCACCAGAAAATAAGAAGTAACAGAGAAAGGGTTGAGATTTCTTTTATCCCTGCCTGATAGCATGGAGGAATTCTCCACTTTTTCTTCCACTAAATAGTACTGTAATGTAACAGAACCTAAAAATAGATTTGGCCTGTTCTTGGCTCTTTATGACTGCATATTCTCATTCCCCATCTCTTTTCTTTATGCCATTTGCTTGAATAAATTGTATAGAGTCATTGGCTTAATGCATAGGATAGAGATGTTTTTATTTCTTCATCAGGATCCCTCCCCAGGGAACAAGGCCGCCTCATCTCTTGCTTTTTGGCTTTGAATAGCCAAGGGCCACATTAGCATCCCCTTGACTGGACCTCACTCTGCCGGTTCCTACTTTCTTTCATCTGCCTCCTGACCAGCCTTTGGTCATCTTTCTATCTGAAATGTCCTTTTTAAGCTGGATTTTGCTTTAACTCTTTTGCTCTGTCTGAGGAAGATTAGCACTGAGGGATCAGCCACGTTTACGCTCTCTCTTTTCTCCTGTCTCCCTTTAGCATTCCTGAGTCCTAAATATTTGGCGTGGGTCTTTGATTTCTGAGCAGCCCGATCGTTTCCATCAGCTTCGTCCCACTTTCTGGAGCTGATGGGTACCTCAAAACAAAACTTATGCCAACGCTTAAGTTTTTATTCCACTAAACATGCTTTGACCAGTCCAGAAGCACCAAATCGTAACTCTGGGGGGCTAAAGGCAGCTCGAAATGAAAGGCTTCTCCATGCTGGAAAGTATAATATATACACATGTATATGTATATAACGTGTATGTATATATGTTATCTCAAAATTCTCTAGTGATGTCCGTGAGAGATGGAGGCACCAAACATGTTGAAGTAAGTAAGACAAGGCAGATCCCTGTGCCCTGCACTTGGTATTTAACAGAAGAAGCAAAACTGCTGAAATATTTGGAAATCTAGGCCTGAAACAAACAAACAAACAAACAAACAAACAGTCTGGCCAAGGCTGCCTCTTGTTTCAGCCTGGAGATGGCTGCTTCCCATGTGCAGGCCTGCAAGATGCAAGTTCACATATCCTGCTTGTAGGAAGCATGAGAAAAAAAATACGGTCTATGAGCATACATTTAAACTCTCAAATAAATGGGACAGTAATATTTCCATGTCCTGCAATGAAATAGGAGAAATGTTATCTCCTGGGATTAAATTAATCATAGCTTGCACACACACACAAGTTGTAGTGTATTGTTTCCTTGGATTATTTCTGTGTAAATCACTTTTTTTTTTTTAATTTCCTAATTCCTCATTGCGACCAGACTCCCACTCTGGGAGATGAACACATTTGACTCTGCTGATGACATCATCTTCAATCATCTTGAGTCTGCAGTAGCTCTGAACTGTATTTTTGTTTTCTAACCCATTCTGAGGCTGCCACCCTAATACACTAGCAGCTGAATTATCAAAGGTGAGCAGCAATGGGGACAGAGTCAGATTGCTCGTTTGCTCAGATTTCCCCATCTCACAGTAGGAGGTCCAGAAAATAAAAGCATACATTTTTCAAGAGATCAGGAATCCTGTTTTGTTTGCCTGCATTCTCACAGTAGTATTTCCATTTCATTCCCACAGTGTACAAAAGGCTCAATTCTGATTTAGGTACCACCAAGCAACAGGTTAATCTTTATGCACAGGCTTCAGGGAGGTTTAAAATAAGACAAAACAAGCTCAGCCTCCTCTGACAGTAAACATGAAAACAATAAATTGTCTTAACACAGGCCAGTGGTCATGGCCAGTGGAAAATAATGAGCATCCCTGTCTGGTTTTGAGGGATTCCCTAGGGATGCTATGTAACCAGCAAATGTTGTTTTTTTTGCCTAACCAAGAAAAATCAAGCTGCAGCGCTGTCAGCCTTTCTTGTAGAATAAATGAGACAGAAATACTGAAATAGCAATTATCATCAGACCCATGAATTATTTAAAAAGCTGAATGTTGGCAGGTTCCCCATTCACTGAAGTGGACTGTTTTGAATGCACTAACTTTATTTATAAAAGCTGTTGCTGCAGGTAATGCACAGGATGAGCACCTCCATCGTCAGCCTTTATTGAGCCCTCTGCTGCTGCACTTGCAGCCCGCTCCCCAAGCTGAGCGTCCCTGCTGGGGAGCTGAGAACCCAGCCCGTGGTGCTCACCGGGATTACATACACATGACTGGGAAGTCTCCCTACTGCATCCCAGTCCTAGTCCAATGACAGATTCAGTGGAGAGCTAGAAAAATCAGACTAATTATTGGGTCTGTTCCGTAACACTGAAATGAAATTACCCAGTTTAGCACCAGACTGTCAGAAAGGGGCATAATTTAGCTCTGACTCATGGGTAAACCTACTGAAGTCATGAGAAGTTCATTAAAAGACCAGCTTGAGAGCAGAGCACTATCTTCTGTGGACTGGGTTAGGAAGCAGCCTCACGCTCCTCTTTCACAAAGACCATTTCAGAGCCCTCCCCTCATTACAGAGCTCAGCTGCACCGCAGAAGCTGGGGCAACATGAGCCTGCAC